ATAGTAAAGCTTCTCCCTCTTAGATTTTTCTTCTTGCAACTCTAGCATCTATTTCTCTCCTTTGCAATTTGTGCAACATCCACCAATATACTTTTTAGATGTACCAATTTACATAAATTTTCCCTGACTGTCGGAGGCCGGATTGTTCTATACATTCCTCTCCAAATTTCTGGAAGATTTATATAGGGATGGTCAAGAATAATTTCCTGTTCTTCATGGCTATATCTGATACATAAGCCTTGCACTTAAAATTCATGAGGCAAGGCTCTGGCTTGTTTGGATTTTGGTCCAGTAGGAGTCGCCAATGGTGGGGAGTGTAATTTTTGATTGGATGAGGCAGGCTCCCCAAAATCCATAGATGTGGATGGTGTCACTGAGAAGGTACAGTGTGCAGGTGGTTTAGGTTGTGCACTAGATGTAAAGCCTGCTTGCATAAAACTTGATATAATTGGCCGTTGTCCTAAAAATGATGTAAAACAGTTATAATACATTGGACAATCTCTTCTTGGTGCATGTTGCCATTTGTGCATCTTCATAATTCTGAAATGAGATACAGTTTCTCCAATTCTTTTGCACTTGTTCCTTAGTAGCACCTGGTATATTGAGAAAAGAAAAAGCAATATACCATATTCATCAAGGTATTTATATCAAAATCAGTAAGTTTATTGATAAAAATAATTTAGCATATAACTTTTGACTTGAGGGGACCATTAAAATCGCTCAATTTGCCGGATTTAATTTAAACGCATTTTCAAAGATTTTCAGGGCCTCTGAATTTCCCCTGAAAAAAACAAATTGAGGCCCACCTGCTATTTTTTAGGTGGTAGCAACCACTTACGTTGTCCAAAGAAATGTGCTTTTCACCTTATCTTGCGAAATTGGCAATTTTTACGTATATAATTGAAAATAGATTATTTTCTGAAAGATTATAAAATTACACATGCTTGATAAAAAAAAAAAAAAATCTGTATACAAATATGATATACCATTTATATAGAATATTTTCTTTTATTTACATTTGATCATATTTCGTCAGTTTCATTCTTAAGCAAAATGTTTTGAACATATCAACACACCCCTCTCAGATGGGGGGGGGGGGAAGGTTTGCCAAATGACCAGCAAAATTTTATGGAATCTAAATATAAGGCACACCTTGGGTAAAAAATTCATTAAATTCTGTTCATAACTATTTGTGTTATACAAACATACACAAATCAACCACCCAACAAACAAAAGTAACAATATATATAAACATAAGGTCATGGAATACATGGAAATGGTCTGTAAATATATCTTATATACATAGTTTTCCACCACCCTGTATTTGTATCCGTATTTCACAGAAGTGTTGTTATGAAAGGTGGAATGTTTCTTCCACTGGAATTATGAGGCCTGAGACGCTCGCCTGTGATACTCGTTGGCATGGAGAAAGATCATTTTTCAAACCAGTATATGTTGGAAAACCCAATTAAGTAATAATAAAGGGAAATAATAGATAATTATATATACAAATATTCAGTGATCTGTTACTAATAATGTAAAAATAAAATAAAAAATAAAAGGGGGGGGAGAACAAGTTGTGATATTTTGGTACTCTACACTTATAGCCTACACATTTTCCGTCTGAAATTAATGTTATATGGCTTATTTTTGTAGCTGAATAGTAGATCTATGCATGATACAATATGGATTTGCAATATTTTCATGTGCTTGTAAAAGTGACACATAATACATGGCCCCTTTTGTGGCCTTCAGAGTCGTCTACGTAAAACATTGACACCAAAAAGTAGGTCCAAGTCGAAAAATGTACTACCATGCTATAGATGAAAGATTCTTTTCATATATGAAATCAGAATGACTGTATTATTATTTTTATTTATTTATTTATTTATTTTTTTTTTTTAGAGAATCTTTGAAAATGGTTTATGTAAGCCGAGAAACACCCCAACTCAAGTGGGACCCTTTGTAGTCTTCAAAAGCACACGCATTTTTAGTTTGAAATAAAAGTTTTATGACTCACAGTTTGTAGCTGAATGAAAAATCTTGTGCTTGTTGCATATAGTTTTTGAAGATTTTTCTGTGCTTCTTGTTAAAGTGACATAAGTATAAAAGTCTTTTTATAGTGTTCTAAGAGTCGTCTACACAAAATATTCACAAAGCCGAATGTAAGGCATAATCGAAAAAAACTGCTCCATACAAGCACTAGATAAAAGGTGTTTCTGTTCGAAAATGAAATCAGAATACCTGTTTTTTTTTTTTTTTTTTTTTTTTTTGGGGGGGGGGTGTTAAGAAATTTTTGAAAAAGGTCAATGTAGACTTATAAACACCCCAATCATTATGACCCTTATTATAACAAATGTCGCTTAGTGAGATGATATTACTTGCTAGGAATTTCGGCAAAACTTCGGAATGCAAGTAAATGGTAAAGGATTATATTATTATAGTAAATTATTCTTATACCTAATATTGTTAATACCAATTGTATGAAAATACATGAAAACAAAAAAAAATACTGATATCTCGCAGCACTACCTTTGTAATCTTCCCGAGCCCCAGCACATTTTTACGGCCAGTTTGTTAACATCGCAATTCGGGATATCATAATTTTGTTTGTGGCTAGCCTGAACAGTTCAAATGAATTTGTTAAACGAGCGTAAATTGGGTTGGGCCAGGCACCATTCACTTTGGGCCTGGCCCCAAACGTTCGTCGTTTTCGAACAGTTGGTACGCCTGTTCTCCTGTCAGTTGATGTAAACAGCGGGCGGTGATGGCTACTCAACGGGAAAAACAAATTCACCTATCGGAGGATCAGAGGGAGAGCATCTTTCTCTAATAGCTGAGCACAAATCGGCTATCCTGGGGAAATGCATGATCCTGCTAGTATTACCAAGAAGCAGGAGGCATGGGAGAAGGTCTCCGGGAGCTTCAATGCGCTGTACCCTCATCTCCCGCCCAGGAACACCTCCCAGTTGAAGCAGGCATTTGCGTACATCCGCACCAAGTAAGTTTACTACTGTTGATCACTTTGCATTATATTTATGTCCATTATGCTCAACGAGGGTTGAGTAAAACTCAACATGGGAGGGAGGATGGCTCTGGGCCATCCTCCATGACCATGGGAGCCATCCTCGCATGGCTCTCCTGGGAGGATCTGTGAGGCCTCTACTGTTTCAATGTTGTTGTTTTTTTTTTCAGATTTTACATTACATTTGAATTAGTTTCTCAGAATATGCAGTTCAGGTTAAACAAATACATTTTCACGAAAATAAGTATTCAATGATGGAGGTTTAGATCAACCTAAGGCTATAAGGAAAGGAATGTGACCTTGATATTTAAAACCACTGAAATATATTTTTCACAAAAAACCTTCATTTGCTGATTGTTTATAAGATAATTTTTTCACTAATGTATAAGTAATATGAGCATTACGTAATTATGTATACTAGATGTAAATAATTGAATTATATTAATTACCAGTGAGTGCAACAGCCATATTTATACATATGAATTACTCCTAAAACTGAATTACATCATAAAGTCCCATCTTCCTTGCAAAACTTTTCTTCTTATGTTTCTCATACTTTCTTGTGGTTATCTGAATGATATATGTATATATA